TGTCCTGGAAAATGTGTGTAGCAGCTCAGATAGAAGCTAGGCATATTTTTGTATTTGCTGTTGTCTGTCCCTTCACTCTGTGTGGTGAGCACTGTAAATTATGGATTTAGTTATGTACACAATGGCTGAAAAGATGAAAAGCTTACTGTAAATACTGTAAATCCAGTACAGGTTCAGGGCTAGGAAGAGACAAATGGAATGCTTGTCTCCAGAATGTCAATCTATATCCCATCCAAGGTTTCTGTGGTCTCTTGCAAGGACTTTGAATAATTATGTAAATTGCTCAGATGAGCATGATTTGATGACCTAAATATCGATCTTTGACCCTAAACCTGTGAAATTGTGACAGCTAAATAGAAATGCTATCCACATTCAAAAAGTTAGGCTGTAAAATAAGCCTCCCCAGAAAAATATGAAAGAATCATAATCTTTCAATAGAAGAATGGCTATAGTGAGAATTTCCTGAAGTAGGAGTGTGGACCAAAGTGTACTCTAATGGCCAGGGAGTAGACATGATTGCCGGAGTGTTATCCAAAAGTCATCTATGTATGACTGCAAAACTGAGGGATGTGCATAGAGAGTAACACTTCCATCTGTGACTTGAGGTGGAGCACTACCGTCTAGTGTTTTTGTGATAAGGTATCAATGGGGTTAGAGGTAGAAAGATGAAAGAAAACATTAATATCTCAGAACTTAGAATTACAGACAAGCAGAACACCTTCTGGTTCTGCTGGATACTTCCTCATTTCCCCACCTCAAACATCTTTGATACTGAAAATAGTATCGAAGGTAAAACCCAACCTGAAAATAAGTGCTTACATTTGCAGACTCTGTTTGCACTTTCCCCAACTCTGAACCATACTGAACCATATCACCAAAATAGCTTCTTCAAAGAAGTACAAACTCCTTCTCACCTCTCCACGCTCAAACACACACGATAATATCCTTCCTTCCAATAGTTCACAAACAGAGGATAGAAGATCGGGAAAACCAGATCTACTGGGTCAAAATATGAGAGGGGGAGAAGAGTGTCTTCAGGCAATGTAGTGACCCATCCTGAAGGATTCACTCTATGTGGTCTCTGTATGCTCAGGCTTCTATGTGATTTAGGTATGGGAATGGCTGGTTGGCGAATGGGCAGAGGCAAAGGAGAATTGATTTCCACAGCATCATCCTCCGGGAAACCCACAGGTATTGTCCCAAGTACATTGACGTTGATGCTGTCATTGGAGCTTTTCACCAGTACAGCACTGAATTCACTTTTAAAAAAATAGTAGTAAGATCCCCCGAGGGCGGGTTGGGTGGGGCCTGAGAGTTGGTGTATTTACATGACAGATTTCTGATTGAACTCATTATTTGCTAAACTCATCCATCCATCCATCCACCCATCATCTTCATCACGGCAAATCCCTAAAGGTGCGGATTGAGCACCACCTGGATCAAACTCTGGCAAGGAGCTTAAGATGCTCTGGCAGCATATTCAGTTTATGTCCATCACTGGGAATCTTGTCACTCCTGTTAACAGTAATTAAAATCATTTAAAATTTGAAACCTGAACAATGTAATTTCATTACTATGATATAGTCAAAAGCCAAACTGAAGTTTCTGGAAGTACTAAAGATCTGTTATGGAACATGTAATGATTTATTTAAAAAACAACTCAAAACACCCTTCTGCCACCACCTAATAGTATTTTCAGTATTTTCAATAATATATTGTGAGCTGAGTTGTGTCTGGGAAAGAGAAGGTGCGAAGAGACTGGATGTGATTTTTCTCTTCAGTGTGATCCTTCTCTTTGACATCAGGGGACAGATCCCTGATCACTCTTGATTCCCTTCTATTCGGGTGTGACAACACTGCACGCTTTTTTTTGGTGGTGAGTAGTGTACATACCAGTAAAGCCCAAGCACCAGGTATAAAGTATGTTATGCTTAGGTTGCTGAGGAACCAAACAACATGTCTCTCTTAAGGTTATTGAAGTCCTCCAAGAGCCCCAAATGTTCCTTTTCTTAGAGAGTTCATATTTAATTTTGTCTCTGCTGTGCATTTGAGTGAAAGTTCCTTGAACCCAGGACAAAACACAGGACACTGTTGCCATTTTTGAAGATTTATTATATCTGATGTCAGTCAGGGGAAAGACTAAAAATGGAACACTTATTCTAAGGATCTATATCCTCTTTACTTGAATATTCTATTCCAAAACTCACTCTTGACTTTTTTTTGGTATTTATTCCTTCTCTTTTGAGACACTTTTTTAAAGACAGTCTGGTTTCCCTGGCTGTTTTGAAAGGTTTAAAAGTTCTATTGGAGCAACTAGAAGGAGACAAAGAATGAGCTGCTGAAAGGATTAGAGGTTTATGTAGAGGAACTGCAAGGAGAAACTCTTGCTTGGGACTATAAAGGGAATGGACTAGGAGGAGCCTGTGAGTGCTGAGAAGCAGTAGTGTTAAAGGGCACGTCTTCACTACCCGCCGGATCGGCGGGTAGCAATCGATCTATTGGGGATCGACTTATCGCGTCTAGTGAAGACGCGATAAAATCGATCCCCGATGGCTCTGCCGTCGAAGCCGGAAATCCACCGCAGCAAGAGGCGGAAGCGGAGTCGGCGGCGCGGCAGCGGTCGACTCGCCGCCGTCCTCAGAGCCAGGTAAGTCGACCTAAAATACGCAACTTCAGCTACGCTATTCACGTAGCTGAAGTTGCATATCTTAGGTCGACACTCCCCCCTCTCCCCCCCACGTAGTGTAGACCTAGCCAAAGACATACTGAAATGAGAAGGTGTCTTTTCCCTGTTAGGGAAGGTTATAGGGAAACTTTTTGTGATGAGGAACAGTAGCGAGAGAGAGAGAGAGAGAGAGAGAGAGAGAGAAGAAAATGCATGTAGAAGGCAGTTATTTCTGTAGCAATGCTATGAACTAACTTCAGTTTTTGTAACTCACACAAGAATCCCCCCTTTTTTCTCTCCTGTGTCTGTACTGAGCAGAGCCAGCATGATAGCCTTTTTCAGGCTGCAGTCTTTTGAAACAGCCGGCCTGGGGGCTAGGGGAATAAGAGGGAGTGACAGATTATCAGTAAAGCAGCACGTAAGCAATTTATTTATGACAAAAATAAATGGTGCAGGTGGCATTCTATGTGAAAACCTGCATTGTCTAGGTTTAATGCTGATGGGTGTGGACTACAACTTCTTCCTTCTTTACTTAAAGCCTAAAATAGTGGTGTTTGCTTTGTGAGACCCTCCATAAACTTTTGGTGGACTTTGTAGCACTGCAGAGATGTTTTGTGGACCCTGTCTTTGGTATTGAGTACCTGAAGTTGCATGAGAGCACCCCCAGAGATTTTAAATACTTTTCAATACAATATACTTTATGGGCTAGATCTTCAGTAGGTGTATTTCAGTGATTTATACCATCTGAGGATCTAGCACTGTATGAGTCCCAGAACAGAAATCCCAAGAGTTAATTGCACTGTAATTTTGCAACAGATAACATATAATAATAACATTTAGCCCATAAGTAGGGCCCTACCAAATTCAAGGCCATGAAAAAGACGTCATGAACTGTGAAATCTGGTCTACCCCTGACAGGGCTGGCTCCAGGCACCATGGAAGGAAGCAGGTGCCTGGGGCGGCCAATAGAAAGGGGAGGCAATCCGTCTGTTGTTGGGGCGGCACGTCCGGGTCTTCGGTGGCAATTCAGCGGTGGGTCCCTCACTCCCTCTCTTCCTCTTCGGTGCCAATTTGGCGGCAGCTCAATCGTTTTTTTTTTTTTCTCCCCCTTCGCCGCTTGGGGTGGCAAAAAAGCTGGAGCCGGCCCTGCCCCCTGTGAAATCTGGTCTTTTGTGTGCTTTTACCCTATATTATACAGATTTCAGGGGGGGATACCAACATATCTCAAATTGGGGACCTGACCAGAAAGGGAGCTGCAGGGGGCTTGGTATTGCCACCCTTACTTCTATGCTGTCTCCAGAGAGCGGTGACTGTTGGCCTGGCACCCAGCTCTGAAGGCAGCGCCCCACCAGCAGCAGCGCAGAAGTAAGGGTGGCAATACCATACCATGCCATCCTTACTTCTGTGCTGCTGCCTTCAGAGCTGGGCAGCCGGAGAGTGGCAGTTACTGACTGAGGACTCAGCTCTGCAGGCAGCAGCCCAGAAGTAAGGGTGACAATACCGTACCATTCCATGCCATCCTTCCTTCTGTGCTGCTGCTGATAGTGGCTCTGCCTTCAGAGCATGGTTCCCGGACAGCAGTCACTGCTCTCCAGCTGCCCAGCTCTGAAGGCAGCGCCGCCACCAGTAGTAGTGCAGAAGTAAGGGTAGCAGCAGTTCCACAACTCCTTGTATAATAACCTTGCAACTCCCCACAGAACTCCTTTTTGGGTCAGGACCCCTACAATTACAACACCGTACATTTCAGGTTTAAATAACTGGAATCATGAAATGTGCAATTTAAAAAATCCTATGAACGTAAAATTGACCAAAATGGACTGTGAATTTGGTGGGCCCTACCCACAAGTGCCAATATCATCTTCAAGGTGCTTTACAAACATTATTTAATCTGTACATAAATACCTCTGAGCAATAATGCAAAATTAAAAACTCTTGGTTTCAAAGCAGACACTTGAGGATATCCCAGGTTAAGCTTCATTTAAGGGATTCCCTTGTTGTTCGACTGCCCCCAAAATATTTACTCTCTGTTGCCAAGGGTTATTGTGGGTTAAGCTTAGATGAGCTAAAAATATAAAAAGACAATAAAATTCCAGTTGCATGATAACTGAATCAATATTGTACTGCATCCTGTATGCCGGATTCCCAAATTTGCTATGAAAAAAAACTACGTCTGTTTATTTTCTTATCTCAGTAAACGTTGCACCCATTTTGTGTTCCTCCTACTCCTCCTTCTCACTTTACATGTCCTCCCCTGTGATGGCATTAATTGTACCAAAGGGCCTTATATAAAGAGAGGTTTTCTGAAGACGTTCTCAGTGCAGCCAGCTTAGCCACCATGGGGCTAAGACTTGCCAGCGTGTTTGCACTGTGGCTGGCTCTTTCCTGTGCGAATGAAATTAAAAAAGGTAAGAGCTAGAAATGGGATGGTGAGGAATTTCCCACTGGAAAGGAGTGGAAAGATTTAACTAGTGCAGTTAAGAAAAAGCTAAACACGCGGTGAAATAATTAAAGGGAATATTATGATATCAAATATCCTCCCTTCATTTTTAACATTCAAATGCTGAGACCAAATGTATGAGCTGAAATAGATGCGGCTTCTTTTGGAGGAAGATTCTACAGTTTTCTTTCTGAGCTCTGTGGCTGGCTGAATCCATTATGTTGATCTCTAGCTTGATGTATGTGATGAAGTAACAGTTGCCTAGCATGAAGGTTTGCAGGAGTTTGGCAGGTACCGAGCAATAGCAACAGGGAAAGGGGATGAGTGTCATAAGGAAAACTCTGCATTTGGCTATTCAGAAATAGCAGTATATGCTTTCTTGTCCAAAAGATGTATATATTGTTAACACTTGGACTAGATCATTTTTTAACCTATTACTTCAGCAATCCTAGTCCATAATTTCTTACTCTACCTTTCTAAAAGAATGAGTCTCCAGTTTAATTAGCTTGAGGTGTTAGGATGAATATGTATTATTGAAAAATAGCAAATATTTTGGTACAGCTGGGTGATGCATTCCTGTGCAGGTGATCAGGGGGTTGGATCCTGGGATTGGTCCCTTCTTGAATACACTATGGCTAGGAGAGCACCTGATGTTAGTAATTGGGAAGAAGAGAACACATTGGATCGCTTTCCAATCCCACTCTCTAGTGGATGCAAGAATCAGCAGTGATGGGCTTTGGAAGGATGGATGTGAACCCTTCCTTAAATGAAGAGGGTGATGCTGCAACACAAGGATTTGTTTGGATGGAGTAGAAAGTAGAGAAATTAGGAGATCTACATGATCCCTGAACTTCGCCCAAAGCAAACAATATCTATATGTAACCCACACACCTCCTGGGTGTGGTGTTGTGTCCCATCTAGTGGCACTGAGACCACTTAAAGAGAGAGAGACTGAGTCTGCTCCACAGCCTTAGCTAACAGCTAGTTGGCTTTTAGCTCATGTGGTAGAGGCTCATGCACTAAACTCCAAAGGCCCCAGGTTCGATCCCGCCTGCTGTCAACCAGGGTCTGTCAGTGTTACATATAGATCTCTGGAGAAAGTGAGCATCGAAGTAGACCCATGAGCTGTAAATATGATGCTCTGTTGTGTGTATTACATACAGTGTGTCTTGATGCCTTTAAATATGAATTGTTCAAGGGGACCTATGGTTTTGTTCACTCAATTTAAAAATTGAGAGTTAATTTAGTGTTTATGAGTATGAGGGGTGCTGATACTTGCTTGGCTGCTTCCCTTACCACACAAAGCTCTGACAATGAACCTCAAACCTAATCTACAACAATCCCTGCAATTCCAGTTTTGAGAATGTAAATTGTGCTAAATTTGTGTCAGTTTCTGCTGTGGACAAATGGTGGTGGAATGAGTTTGAGACCTCCAAACATTTGGTTGCTATTGCTTTCTTCTTACCTTCCTGACATAGTTTAGTTGTTGTCTTATCTTGAGTTGTTGTGAATATCGATGGTACTCCAAGTCACTATTTCTAATGGAAATAATGAATTCACACTTGGAATTTGGATTACATAAGGGATTAATTCATATAAAGAAAGTATCTTGCAAAAAAATTGGAAAAGTGACAAAATTATTTAGAATACATTAATACACTTGCCATCCTGGCCTGAGCCTACATTAATGGTATGGGAGTGTCATATGACAGGAGTGTTAAAGCTCCTTAGTAGAGCTGGGAAAATAACTGATTTATTTTGTTCACTCGCGGTTCTGAAAAATAAATAAATAACAAAATTGCTTTAGGTCAAATAAAATGTCAAATTCTGAAAAAATTCAGTGAATCAAAAAAGTCAACCAAAATTTCTTTTAAGTTGAACAGAGCATTCGGTTTCATTTTCGGACATTTTAACAATAACAAGCAAGGGAAATTAAGGGGTTAGGTTCATAAAAAGGCCAAAGAGGAGCCTCCTTTAGCCCAGTGGTTAGGGCACTTGCCTGGCCTGTGCCCTAACCGCTAGGCCATCAGCTACTCTGGGAGGGGCATCTCTCAGTTTTTCCTGTTAAAGCTGTTCCATTTTGTATAAAATACTTGACTAGTCATTGGGCCAGAGAGAGAGTGTATGACAATGACTCTATAGTCTGGCTATGGCAGACTCTGGCAATGTGGGATACCCAAGTTCAAGTCCCTGCACTACATTAGGCAGAGGGGGGAGATTGAACCCAGGTTTCCTACATCTCAGGGGAGTGCCCTAACAAGGATTCTAAGGTATAAAGGAGCGGCCACCTTTTCTTCTTCTGTGAATGGAGCCTGAGTCCCTTTGTGAATAGAACCCCCCTAAATTATTTGAGACAAACCTATTTGGCAACTTTGTTCAAATTCAGAAATAGTTTCAGGCTTACTGCAACTGCTTTTTTCAGAGAATAAACTATGTGCAACCAATTGGCCCATTTCTACTTCTCAGTTTCAACAGGCAAGTGCTCTCATCCATCACACATGCAGTCAGAACTCCAAGAGGTATCCAGGCCTCAGCTGCATGTAAAAATGCATGACTCTCAGCCAGAGAGATGCACATATCGTCTGTTTATTATGCAAACACTGGGGATTTGGTGTTTTGGCAAATTGTTGAGTATATATTTATAAATGGCTTGTTCTGTATACATAGAAGATTATCTTCTTGTGTAAACCTAGTAGTATGCCATAGCTGAATCATTTAAGTATCATTCCTTAGCTGTCTTGCTGTGTAATGTTGCTTACTATCAATGGGTGCTAGCTACTTTATTTCACTTTCTTCATCCCTTCTCCGTAACTTAACAGGCAGAACCCAAAACCATGGCCACTACGTCTGCAGTACCTGGGGGAACAATCATTTCAAAACTTTTGATGGCGACTTCTACCAGTTCCCTGGACTCTGTGATTACAACTTTGCTTCTGACTGCCGAGAGTCTTACCAGGAGTTCTCAATCCACGTCCAGCGTGCTGTGAATGAAAATCAACACCCTGACATCCAATATGTCCTGATAACCATAAAGGATGTTGTAATCTACCTCACCCAAAATGCGGTTGTCGTGGATGAGCAAATGTGAGTTCTTCGAGTATTATAATTCTTCAAAGAAATGTCCAGTAAGATGCTTCCATAGACAAACAGAACTGTACAATATGTAGCATTAAGATATCTATTGTGAGCCTTTCACCAGGCAAAAGAAATTCTGGGAAAGGAACACAATATTCCGAATAGACCCACTGAAGCGAATGAGACACTTGCTAGGTAAGGTACTGGAGTAAGGGTGCCAGAACCTGGATCAGGTTTAACAGATTTTAACATGATCAAATAAATATGTACCCTTCTGTTGTCGTTGCTGCCTCTAACTAGAGCCCAGGTTTTATTAAAAGCAGCAAAGAGTCCTGTGGCACCTTATAGACTAACAGACGTAC